CCATCAAATTTGGCCAGGTGTCATCGAGATATCATCATTTAAAGTTAGAAAAATCAAAATGCCTATTAAAACTAAAGGCTGCATCAAGTTTTTTTAAACTTTGAGCAAAGATATCTTAACACACTACGGCGGATTTGTCAAATTTAACTACTTTTTGGACCAAATTTAAGTTTTAGGGACCACATTTATTATTGATTTTCTAAGAATGAACCTTCCAAAAAAATTATTAGCTCTCCGATTTATAAAAACAATGTGTCTAACCCATTTTCTAACTATTGCAACCTATTTTAAATTTCAGTAAATTCGAACAGCCCATTTTAAATTTATCATTAAAATAATTTTTAGCTAAAAAGTATTTGTATATATTTTGCTACGTATATAATTGTTTAAAACAAAATAATAAGTCTGAGGGACGAAAAACCACAAACATACCAAAATCTGTCGGATAATTATCCGAATACCTGTCAGATATCTAAGCGATTTGAATTATCTGGATAATCAGATACGGATGACGGATTTATCCGGATTGGACCTCTACCTGGGTCTAATTCATTTTACCAATTTTAAAACTAATTAGACTCATGAGTCTCTTGTATAGGTTGTGGGTCTGACAGTGTTTATACGGACTGGACTCGAACCAAACTTTAACAAAGTTTGAGTCTGGTTTGATTTTTCGAACCAAAATCAAACTTTTTTTTTAAACTTCAGCTGTTTGGTCCGAAATTTGCAAACTAGTTCTAACTCTAAATCTTAAGCAACTTTTAAAAAAAGTTTAAATTTTCATATCAAATTTCAACAACAGTTAATTTTAGAATCAGCCGCAACAATTATTTACGAAATAGTGAAATTCGCTATGATCATCACGTGAGAGTGAAATCCACTTTTATCGTTTTACCCTAACGCGATCTACATCACTATTTCGCAACTCAAGTTTCACTCTGTTCTATTATTTTTATACTATTTATAAAATGGGTTTACTAAAATGCATCATAAGTTTCGAGCCCATAATTGTAATATATCAAAAATTAACTAATTTTTATCTATCCTTAGCTCATAAAATATACATTAACACTAAATTTTAGCGGTAAAATTTCGTGCTAAATACCATGGGTGCATTCTAGATTATATTATCTGATTTAATGCAGAGTTTCTATACCTTTTTTGAATAAATAAACTGCTTTAGAATTGACACAATAAGGTTCACAAAGCTCAGTTTCTTTAAAGTCTCGTCATAACTCGGAAATTTAATTTTGCTTCACATTTACATTTTTGAACAATGATTTATGTTGAATTGTTCGAAACGAAACATAAAACACAATTTATATATAAATGTTTGTCCACATTACAAAAGCTACGTTTTTTTGATTTATAAATGCATACTATTTTAGTACATGAATAATAATTATCCTATCAAAGATTTTCGTGACTCTGGATGCAAATGATATGCATTTACCAAAATTTTATTCTTGGATTGTTTAAGTTTGCTAAAAAATTAATATTATTAGCACAAAGATTTAATAAAATCAACGTAGTGTTCTTGCAAAGCGCATTTACTAACGCATTTCCACCTTCTGATTCAATTTCATTCCCTTCAAGATTCAGAGAAGTCAGAACGATATTTTTACAAAATGCATCTGCTAATGCTTTTCCACCTTCTGGTCCAAGTTTATTTCCTTCAAGATTTAAAGAAGTTAGAGCGGTGTTTTTGCAAAGTACATCTGCCAATGATCTTCCTATTTCTGATCCAAAATTATTATTGCCGAGATTCAAATTTCTCAGAGTATTATTCTTGCAAAGCGCATCTGCTATTGCTTCTCCTCCTTCTAATCAAGATTATTATAACTAAGATCTAAATCTTTTAGTACAGAGTTATTGCAAAGTGCAATTGCTAACTCTTTCCCTCTCTCAGATCCAATTCTATTTCCCTGAAGCATCAAAGAAGTCAGCATGGTGTTTTTGCAAAGCGCATCTGCTAATGACTTTACTCCTTCTGATCCAAGTTTATTATATCGAATATTCAAGAATTTCAGGGTATTGTTTTTGAAAAGTGTTTTGGCTAATGCTTTTCCTCCTAATCCAAGATTATTATAACTAAGATCTAAACTTTCCAGCGCGACGTTATTGCAAAGTGCATCTACTAATACTTTTCCTCCTTCTGATCCGAATTCATTAAATCGAAGATTCAAATCTTTCAAGGTATTGTTCTTGCAAAGTGCATCTGCTAATATCTTTCCTCCGTCTAATCCAAGTTTATTCCCTTCGATATTCAAAGAAATAAGTGTAACGTTCTTACAAAGTGCATCTGCTAATGCCTTTATTCCTTCTGATCCAAGCTCATTTTCTTCAAGATTCAGATCTTCCAAAGTATTATTCTTACATAGTGCATCTGCTAATGCTTTTCCTCCTTCCAAACCAAGTCCGTTTCCTTTAAGATTCAAATGCTTCAGGGTATAGTTTTTGCAAAGTGCATCTGCCAATGATTTTCCTCCTTCTGATCCAAGTTCAATCGCTTCAAGATTCAAATCTTTCAGGGTATTATTTTTACAAAGTGCATCTGCCAATGCTTTTCCTCCTTCCGATCCAAGTATATTCCCTTCAAGATTCAAGGAAGTTAGCGTGGTGTTCTTGCCAAGAGCACCTGCTAGTGATTTTCCTCCATCTAATCTTAGTTTATTATATTGAAGATTCAAATCTTCCAGGGCATTGTTTTTGCAAAGTGCGTCTGCTAATGCTTTTCCCCCATTTATTCCAAGAGGATTACAACTAAGATTCAAACTTTTCAGTGTATTGTTCTTGCAAAGCGCATCTACTATCACTTTTTCTTCTTCTACTCCAAGACCATTACCATAAAGATTTAAAGAAGTCAGCATGGTATTTTTGCAAAGTGCCTTTATCAACTCGTTTATTTTTTTACATTTATTATAAGAAAAATCCCAGGTTGAAGCACTTTTTTGATCTTCAGCACTATGCTGGCAGTTTTCAAGAATTTCTTCATAATATTCTAATGCTTGAAGAAAATTGCCATGCCTAAAACATTCATATGCCTCATTTCTCGTATATCTTCGTCCTGTGTCAAGAGATCTACATTTATTGTACTGGATGAGGTGATAGAATATAAATTTTTAGAGTTAATAGAAGGAAGTGGCGCTGATGGTTCAGATGAATTTACAGGCATGCTTATATCTTGATTTAAGAAAAGCGTTTCCTTATTTTTATTTGATTCTTCATTAATTATAGGTTGATTCAAATCATCACCATCAAAGAGTTCTTTTAATGTGTTATAAATAAATTTTGTTTCTGGTCGATTAACAGGGTCATTATCCCAACATTGCTTGAAAGTTCAATATATTGAGGCGGTGTATCTTCTATATGTTTTTCTCTATTTCCTTTGAAGATGTGAATAGTAAGTGCATATATTGACTCAATGGTTTGAAATGGTGGTCTGCCACTTGAAATTTCCCAGAGAATTATTCCAAAGCTATAGATGTCAGATTTCTTATCACGTTTGTATTTGTGATCAATAAGGCATTTAGGTTCTATATATGCCGGCATTCCATGAACAATCGAATTGGAAGTCATAGACATTTCGTTTATCTGCTTTGATAATCCAAAATCTGCAATCTTCGGTTGCTTTTGATGAATTAAGATATTCTTTGAATGCTAAAATTGGAGTATTAGTAATTAAATATCATAAAATCCAATAAAAGTGTATAGTACTTACAAGATCTCTATGAACAATATTATTATCATGTAAGAATAAAAGTCCGAATGCTATTTCCTTAGCAATACGTAACTTTTCTGTCCATTGCAATTGAATAAAATTCATTTTTAGGTATTCTCGCAAAGTTCCGTCATTAGCATACTGTAAAACCATATTATAATATCCACTACTATCTATTTATTTGCATTAGACAATTTTCGTTTAATTTTGATTATTATGTGATACCTCAAAAATATAAATTTCTTGTTTACCCTTCGTGATCCCATAGAACATAATAATGTTCGGGTGGTAATATACTTTCCGTAATAGTTTAAGCTAATTATATAAGAGTTATTATTCTGTAGTATATAGGATATAATTCAGGTTTCAATATAATAAATATACCTCATTAATAAAATCTTTAATAGCTTTTTCATCTGTATTTGTATCGACTATAAGACATTTGAGAGCAACTATTAAATCGCTGTCTTTCCACGCATATTTAAAAACCTTTCCAAAACCTCCGGAACCAATCTCTATAGGATCTGTAAATTTATTATATTCAATATAATTAATATGTCCGTCAGAAATAACCTTTTCAAGCCATTCTGCTGGTGTTTTTGTCATAACTAATAATTTTATATTCTTAGGATAGGATACTAAAAAAATTTCCTGCTGTCACGCGTTACACCTGGTCCGGTTCAAAAAGAACTGCGAATCGGACCGAAGACTACAAACCAATCCATTTGAAGCTCTCTGATTGGCTGCTTCAATTCATCAAAATACCGGAGTCTTTAAATAGTTATTATTATTATTATTATTATGTAAAAGAATGTCATAACCGGATCAGTTAAATGATTTTTATACTTAAGTCAGCTTTTAATTATAATTGCAATACCATTATCATTTTATTTATTTATTGGATAATGTTGAACACAGGACAAAGATTTCTATTAGATTCTGTAGTAATATAGCGCTATTCTATGGGAGTCCGATTTTGTAATCAATATTCTTATCAGCTATATAAATTAATGGCCTGCTAGTGCACGCCACAAAAAATTTCGCTTGAGCCCACACTACTTTTGGTTCGCAAAATCTTGATTTTCAAATTGAGACCGAGGCTAAAGCTTTATAACTCTAGGCAATTTTCGCAATTTATAAAAAGACAAATGTTCACTTAATCGTTTATAAGGCAAAGAGATAATTATTATTTTAGATGTGATTGTAAATTAAATTCTATAATTTTGGGTAATGCATGTTACATAGTACAATACATCCAACACATTAAAGAAAAAAAAAATCAGAGTTCTTTTAGCATCCGTGCACAATCCGCTTGTGCTATGGAATGTGAACCATCGCTATAATCTGCTAACGCGGCATTAATTTGGTACTTCCCCGAAGCCTATTTACAAAAACGAATATGCGAAATTTAATACAAGTATAATAAAAACATTTTAGAAATATAACTATGTAAGCCAAATAATTAATTATATACCAATATTGAAATGCAACACCAAAGCATTTTGCCGATGAGGTTTGTTCCCAGGTGCCCTTTTTTCAATTTAGCTTTAGTTAGGCTATCTGTCAAAGTTTCAATTCCACTAGAGTGTAAAATATCCTTTATAATAAAGTAATAAATAACGTTAGAAAATAAATTATAGTAATAAGAATAAAGCTCAAATAACTTCTTACTTGTGATACAGTGCCCACTGCCTTGGCCCAAATAACACCGGTGCCATCATCCAAACGCCAACTTATGTCCAATGAATCATCATTTGTCTCCCAACCAGTGACCAAACATCGACAAATAAATTGATATATGTGTTGATTATTGATTATAGTTGCTAATGAAAGAGAACAACTATGCAGCGACGAAACAGCCAACCACCCCTTAGCCATACTAACTATATATTAAAAAGGTGATGTTTAGAATAAGATTAACTTAACTGTATATTAAGAGAGAAATGGTTACCATTATACACCACAGCACCACTTGATGCGTCACCGTTAATTTCTAATTGACCATTGCTTTTTTTCCACGTATTTAATCCTTCCAAAACAATATATTGACCGATATGATATTCGGCTATTTTACGCCCAACTTTTCCCCAAAGTATTATTTGTTGGCTTCCTAATAATGAAGGACTGATAATCAGTTGAAAATTAATTAATTAATTAAATGTTTTATAATTTATGTTGTTCTCACCAGTCTTGTCACTAAATTTTATGGAATATCGGTCTATTTGTTTGCCATTGTTCAAAATTAATGGAGACTTTGTAATAAATATCCAATTAGTAAAAATTTTTTGTTGATATAACGAAAAAGGATATCAAAAAAGAATATTCTTACATTATCTAAAATATCGTCAACTTTACCATAAAGAGTTACATTTAATCCTCGTGAAGGTAGGGTTTTAATGAAAAAACGATCATAGTGAAATTTGTAGTCGATCATATACTAAAAAAAGAAATAAGTAATTAAAACATATTATTTACTAAGGGCGATCAACCAAGAAAGTACTAACCGAATTATCTTGATAATTAAATTTGTTTTTTCTGAAATATCTAGATTTCAAATTTCCCCCCTTTAAGCATGCAAAAGAACGTCATTTTATTTATATCGAATTTCTTTTTAAATACGTCAATCATTGCATACCTTACAAAGCTCACTCATTGGTAAACAAAACAAAGTCGTCAAATCTCCGTAATGAAGAATAATTTCATCATAAATTGTATCTTCAATATCAATATACGGCCAATGTATTCCCAAAAAGTCTCCCTGTTAAAATAATTATCAGTAAGATGGAATTAAAAAGCATATGATATAAAAAACACTTACTGTTTTAAATAATGTGGTCATACGTATTTTATCGTCCAATAAAACCAAGCTGGCACATTGTGAACTCGATATGTCACGCAGGTAAACACATACTTTATTACAAAAACCCGGTAAATCTGCAGGCTCTTTAGCTCCGATATGCACCACCTTTTATTTAATTATCATTAATGTTAAATACATTCATTGTTAATAACGTTTATATAATATAGTATACACACCCTTGTCCAAAACTGATATCCCCTTCCATTCTTAATATCAGTTGATGAAACATCGGCAATTGAATCAGTAAACAATGTATCTACCAAAATTTCTTCAGAGGGGTTTAACATTATTATAATGTTTGAAGTATGCAAAAAAGTTAAATTGGATGCCGTTTTTGACAAAGACGCGCGATTAAATCTGATTTGGCGATATTTCTAATAAGGATTGGTGATCAAATTAATTAAATTTTCTGACACAAATTGCAATATTAATAATGATGATAATAAAATTGCATTCCTACTTTATCAAATAAATTCGGATAATACCCCCCATCTATAAACCGACAAAGTCTCGGAGGAATAAACATGTCAACTGTTGATCTATTATCTGAATATTCGGATAAAATGAATTTATGTATATAAAGTATAGGCGAATATATTATTATGTTGATGATTTTGAGTAAAATTGCGATAAAATATTTATGCGAATAGGATATGAATTGAATTTTCTAAGTTGATATGTTTAATATTTTTGACTATTAATTCATAATCCCGAATCTTTGTGTTAATCCGAGGAGAAACGGTAGAAAGAGGAGAAAAACCTGATCATTCATGCATAAAACTTTTTTAAATAAATAATACATTCGAATTAAGCAAATAGGAAAACATAACTAACTTTTAGGTACGCCCTTTCGATAAGTTACACTCGTCTCTTGCCACTTAGGAAAAAAAGAATTAGAGTTAGAAATTTGAATTAATTAGAATTTAATGTTTTAAACAAATACCTCAGAAAGCAACTGGTTTAGGATAACAGGCTCAGTTAGTCCATGCGGAGTATGTATTAGCATTTCTGCAACTCTAGCACATACCCAACCCCTTTTATTAAAATAATTTTATTTAGGAGATATGAGTCATAAAACCAATGAAAAAAAAATAACTTACCAAGATAAAGGTTCAGCTTCAGGATCTACAGCTTGGAGGTCCAAATCTTCATTTTCTCTATACTCGTTTTCTTTATTTTCTTCGCTTCTTTTGACGCGCTTCGTTTGGCAAATTGTAAGAATATGTGAACTAATGGTATCGCGATAACGTTGAATTAAATTCTCAAAATCCATGTCAAAGTTTCCAATAACAATTTTTCGAATAGGAACTTTATATTTTTTGAACAAATAAATAGCATTGTGTCGTCCAATCACGATTTTATGACATGATACGCGTCTACAAGTTTACGCGATTCACCAGTAACCCTTATATAGAACGATCTACTTGTCTGTTATTACAGTAAAAATTATTACTGAACGCATCGGTATATTTCGTTATACGTATACAATATATTTGTTACTGCAACAATTAATACTATTACATAATACAGCAGAAATATTATATTAGCATATCAGATATATTAATTATTACTCATTAATAATGAAATAAAATTTTTTTAAAGTATTTATTGAAATAACATTATATAAGAGAAGTTACCGATATGATAATAATAAAAGTAAAGTGCTATTACACCTTACGTATATGATATGAAGGGATTTACCATCCCATTAGTTACAAGGCTTAGAGGTAATAGGAAAAAACAAATTATAACAACTACACTTATAAATATATAATTAATAAAAAAAAAATCTAAACTACCAGCGTTAAAATATAACTAACTCTTTTGAAAATGAGCATTGGAGTGTGGTAAAGTAATATAATATATATATTTTTTTTCATTTTGTTTAAACGAGAAAAAAAATCCCAACCGATCGTTTATGGTAGTCACAAGCCCATAATAAATATCCAAATAAGTAAAAAAGGAGATTCTATCAAACGAGATGCTAAAATTAAGTTTCTGAATTTATTTATTTGTTATTAAACGAGAATCCTTTTTTCTTTGCCTTTTCGGGGGTAATCGGTCTACCCGACTCCAATCGTCTCTTTTTTTCTTCTAATTCTAGACGTTGTTTTTCCAGGGCATCCTTCATCTCCTTGTGACGAGCATATAATTCTTCTTCGGATTGTTTCAATTTAGCCTCTTTCTCCTGGACTTTTTGCTGGAATACCATTTTCATTTCTGTCTCCATCTTTTGTAGCTTAGCCTCATGAAGTGCTCGTTCTTCTTCCATCTTGGCAAGTGGATTTACCTCCTTGAAAACGGTTTGATCTTGTTGTACACCCATGGTGACAAGTTTTTCGGATCGATAATTCTCGTAGAGTACATCATTAGTGTGTTCCTTAAGTTCTTCCATATGAGTTCTAAAAAAAAAAAAAAAGATAAATTTAGCTTTATTTATTAGCAAATTTATTATGGTAATAAAAATATTATAAAACAAACCGAATGAGCATTTGTCGAAGTTTTACAAAGTCATTGTGCTCTTCGTTATCGACTTCAATGACACCCCATGGGTATTTGCGTCCACGCACGCGACGTCCGTCAGGAAGTTCGACTTCCTTGTCACTACCGACAATGGCAAATGGAATCTTGCTCTATTATAATTTAATATATAATAAAAAAAAGGAATAATGTAAAAAATTCGTTATGATAATAATAATCGAATTATATCGAATTATGTATAATTTATCAAATTATATAATTATATAAAACATACTATTATTTCACGGTTTTCGGCTAAAGTCTCTTGATCATCATATTCATATTGTGGTGCTTGGTAGATTTGAATCTTATGGTAAGCAATGTCATCTAAAATACGTTGCTTAAATTGTTTAATTTCATCTTCAGTCAACGTATCTGATTTTGCAATTACTGGAATGAGATTGACTTTGGTATGTAGCCGTCGCATAAATTCAACATCCAAAGGTTTGAGCCTAAGAAAAAAATATAATTGACGAAAAAATATAAACAAATAGTTTACACCATTTGTTCCATATTCAATAGTCCTATTGTTGATACTTACGAATGACCGGTAGGAGCAATGAAATAAATGCAAGCATGAACGCGATTATCAACCATCTTACGACGATTCACACGGTTTTCTTGTTCGAGGTATGCATCAAAACGGGCTTCGATATTTTCAAGAATTGGTTTCCAGCTAATAATAATAATAAACACCGGTATAGATGAGTATTGAATAGTAATTTCTACAAAACGTTACATTATTACAATACCTTTCTTCGTTGTTAACAAAATCACCAAATCCAGGAGTATCAACAACTGTGAGCCTTAATTTAACACCATTTTCTTCAATGTCTAGATAAAATTATTACTGTAAGAAAAAACTCTAATAATCAAAGTAATAAGACAATTTAATAAAAATATAAACATAGAAAAGTAACCTGCACTTAGAGATTGGATTTCTACAGTCTTTGGTGTTTCATCTGATGGTTCTGTTTCACCTTTATTGGGGTAAAGTGTAGTGCCGAACAAAGTATTGACTAGAGTTGATTTTCCTAGACCGGATTCACCTAAGAAAAATGTTTACAAATATCAGATAAAATTTGATATTATAGTGAAAAAAGATATTTACTATAATGATGACAAACCAACTATCATAACCGTGAAATGGAATCCTTTTTTCACGGATTTCCTATGCACTTGGTTTGGAAGGTTGGCGAATCCTACATATCCTTGAAGTTTTTTTCGAATAACGGCACTAATGGCCGTCTACATAATTTAAGGTCAAATAGAGTCACGTTAAATACTGTCAGGAAACTAAAATACTATTTTTGGCTTTTAATTATAGTATACAAAATACAACAAAATCAACATACTTTTAGACCCGAGTTCGGAGCACTTGCAGGACTATCTGTTCGCAATAAGACGGAAAAAAAAATTGCAAATTAATTAAAATAAATAGATTGAGACGAAATATCTTGAGACTAAACGTTATAGCGTCGTAGGAAACAAAAAGACAAGTGACAAATTACTCAATCTAACATATTTTTTTTCCAAATTATGTTAGTTTGTAGGAAAGTAAACAAAAATTTGTTTTAAACAAAGATGAACCCAGATGACGAAATAGACTTTTTAAAGAAAAGCTAACATAATAGTTTGATAAAGTAATACCAAGAACACGAGATAAAAAGGTTCGTTTTCAAGGATTTACATATTGAAAGCTTAGATTCTGAAATACAGTTGCATCGAAAAAATAAAATTACGACACGTACCAGACATTATTTGTGAAGACTATGTTAATGGGTGGTTAGGAATTAATACGGGAAAGGAGAATAAGGAAGCGTGGAAATATTAGATTAACTTTATTCTTAATCTATTGAAGGAGTGTATGGAGTTGGCGAAAAGACACACAACAACAATGGAAACAGCACAGGTAGTTTTTTCTGCAAAGGGGCTAAAAAAAGGTTTGAAATTTTTTTGAGGGTGAGTTTGGAGGCAAGAATTTGGTTAGACATGGTTGGGTTGGCCAGAATATCGAAGTTACAGATTGCACAAGCAGGCCACAAAAAGTAAATATGTGTTCCCACATCATATAAATAGTACCTTTGGAATTAAATGAAACCAATCAATTAAACCAGTTTCCAGTGATCAAACTGTATGGGTTACAAGGTATCGTTAAAAAAAAAATTGTAATAGTATAATGCATACAGTAATGTTTGCGTACGACACACTTATTATAAACTTTAATATAAAAATATTTTACGTAAATGTATGTACACGACGTAGCTGCTTTTATCGTAGTTGCACCAATCATCTTTTTCTATCGACTTGCATTGCATTCCCCTTGAATATATTATAAAAAGTTGTTATACAATTTTCGACAGACATATTTTTGTAATTTTGTGAATTCAATCAAGACTTAAAAAGTATTTTAATATAAAAAAATTTCATCTCGTTCAATTAACAAATTTTTTTAACAAATTTCCGGTGTAAAAAAGAGGAATTTTATAAATATAATTATAGAATAATTTTATATTTTTCTTCTTTTGGTACTCTATTAATAACTGCCCTCCCATCGTAAGACAATGAACAAAATACCCATGGGTCACAAGTACTCCAAGCAACTGCGTACACGCTATCCTCATGTTGATCGTAAGATCTCACTAGTCCATCAGTTGGCTTTCTATTTTTTATAATTGCATAATAATTAAATAAAATGATTAATTATTTAATAAAACAAATATATATATATATATTGTATATAAACTATAAAAACTATAATACTATACCCTAGCTGATCATGGTAATCATCTTCTGATCCATCGTCATTTTCGCGTTCGTCATATTGAAACGCGCCAGAAGAAATAGAGACAATGCTTTGAAGATTTACTTGACAATCAGAGCTCGAACTTAAAAAAAGCTGATCGTGAAATCGATTATACGCGATAGCCCATACCCTGATATAAAAAAAGAAAAAAGTAGGTTGCACCATTTAAAGGTTAATTGAATGGTTAACTGAATGGCAAATGATGACTGATAAATATGATTAACAATCAATTGTTACCAATGCGTATGGTCAGAAATTTGTTTAAGGCTATTTGTAGTATTTCTAAGATCCCAAAATCTGATCTTACAATCGTCACCTGCTGATGCAATTTGATATGGCTTATTCGGATTGTAATCTAACGCACGAACAAGTACAGAATGTGCACCATTGATGTTGAACGTTTGACTTAAAGAAATAATATTGATAATAATAATGACGATTATTAAACTTGGTTATTGTGATTGTTATATATTAAAATTTGTTATTGAGATTTTGTGACGACCTCTACCTTTGTGATCGTAGGTCCAAGCCTTGCACAGAACATTCTTTACCAATGGCAACTTCTGGTTGATGTGGATTCCATACTCCAGTTGCTAATGGAGGTAAAGACTCATTTGCTGAAGAGAAATCAACTGAGTGAGAGGTCTGTGTGTTTAATCGGACGTGTTTAAATAAATTATGATTGAACAATTATTTAAAATACGGTAACTCCTTTTTGATACCTTTGCTGACGTCATCTGTTCGTCAAACTCCCAAATACGCAATGAAGAGTCATGAATAGACACGAATTTTGTTAGATCTTTCTTGGGATCCCACAAAACTCTATAAGAGACGTAATAAATTAATAACTCAATATGGAGAATCTTGTGAGCTGATATCATATCCTTACTTTTTAATCGTATCGTCCTCTTTAACTTCAAAAATACATTCCAATGGCAAATGCGATGCGCTTCTCGGGGGACGAGATCTTTTCTCAAATTCTTCCGAAATCACATCTGAATTGTTCATCCGCCATAATTTAGCCTTTGTGTGGGATGATGTTGAATCAACTTTATGAAACAAGAATAAAATATCAGCTACATATCACTACTGACACAAAAAATTAGACTTTTATGAACTAACATGTTTTATAACACGTAAAAAAAAGATCACTTTTCGCGGGACATGCGGCAATGTCCCAAACTTCTTCCGAATGTTGATAAATTGTACTGGTTATTTCGAACTCGTCTTCGTGAAAGTCAATTAGGTGAATCTAACTGTCAAAACAAAAGAATTTAACGCTTAATTATACAAAATTAAAATATATAATCTTATGAAAAAAGAGGGGACAAACCTCATTATCACGTTTAAGGGTTTGAGACCCTACAAGAAATTTATTTTGTTCTGTTTCAGCAGTAACCGCTGTAAGGCACCTTGCCTATGCATAACAGAGGTAGCTTACGCATTAATTTTATGTACGTTTGTAAAGTTATTAGAACAGAGAAATGAACAAATAAAAGTACTTGGTGTCTCAGCCCATAAACGCAAGATCTCCCTTCATTGTCCATTATACAGTATAATAAAACAAAAAACTTCGTTCTGTCAAATACTATATATCTAAAAAAACAGCCAATTAAAATTATCTGCATTATCCGCATTATCTTTTTCTACTTTCGGAATGATAAAAAAAAAAATCAGTTTACCAAAATTCTGGTTAATTAAAAAAAAAAAATGTATGTTCATAGATGTAGGTTCGTTGAATATACACCCACGGCAATCAATGCTTTGGCTTTTACACCTTTATCAACCCGGCCTCTTCTCGCGTGCGGTCGAGCCAATGGTGAAATTGAAATATGGAATCCTACACAGCGTTGGAATTTAGAAAAGGTATTTTTTATAAAAAAATTAAACTGTCATTATACATTCCTACGCGTCTTTTTAACCTATCCTGACTAACAGGTTTTTTCGATTTTCAAAGATAATTCCTGGTGCAAAAAACACGTCCATTGAAGCTTTAACTTGGGTACATCGGACCATTTTAAAAGAATCAGATAGTTACTCTCAAACCAAAGAAGAACAAGAATTTTTAAAGGTTTTATTGAACAAACCTCCTAGGCTATTTTCTGCAGGTTCAAATGGGTTAATCACAGAATGGGACACAACATTATTGAGAACCAAGGTAATTATCATTATTATTATTTGTTGAATTCGCGTTTAAGCCATTGCGTCAGAAATAATCGATAATAATGACGATAATAACAATAGAATTCCACCAATTCGTACGGAGGAGCTGTTTGGTGTATGTCGACAAATAATGCAAATACATTACTTGCTGTTGGTTGTGATGATGGCGGGTTACGTATTTTTGATATTAATGATGATGGACTAATTCTAATTAAAACCCTCATGAGAAATGATGCCAGAGTTATGGCATTGGCTTGGGATAATGATGACAAATTTATTGTGTCTGGCTCGTCTGATAGTAATATAATTAAATGGGACGCTCATAATGGTGAGAATTTTAGTGAAATAATCTTTGTATGCCTTTATCTAAACTTATGTTTTCTCACTTAACATCTGAACAAAGCGCGAATAACGCAAAGGATGACTGTAGATATGAAACATGGAAAGGATAATATAGTTTGGACGATGATGATCCTTAAGTGAGCATAGTAAATATTTTTTTGTATCAAATATAATTACAATTTATTTCTGCTTATATATATATATATTGTCTTGCATTTTGGGATCGATATGATCCCAGAAATGGCACAATCGTTAGTGGTGATTCATTAGGACATGTTTGTTTTTGGGATGGTAATCATGGCACTATGCTACAGAAATTTAAAGCACATAATGCAGATGTGCTATGTTTGGCGTCGAATAAAGTAATATATTTACCATTATTTCACGCAAAAAGTTTTTTGGTTGCGGAATAGTCTAATTGATTCGATTGATATTCTGACCTTTCTTTTTTGTATCTTCAAAAGGAAGGCACTATGGTTTTTTCATCTGGAGTAGATCGTAAATGCAATTTATTTCGTATAGCCGATTATTTCACCACACAATCATCTAATGATGATTTCAGTGAAAATAATTGGGTTTTGGTGGGATTTCGAAGAACACATTTGCATGATGTGAAGGCAATGGCTTTAAGGGATGATTTAACCGATAAATTTTTTGTTTCTGGAGGTTGGTATTAAAACTTGAAATTTATTATGATTCACCTTTTTGAATTAATCTAACAAATAATTTTTTCTAGGTGTGGACGCTTCAATTTTGGTTTCACATTTTGATGGCTTTCCCGAAGATAAACTCCAACGATTACCTTTTATTCCTCAAAAACCTTTGATTAGTATTTCAAAATCAAAAAAACTTTTGATGTATCGAAGTTATAATCAAATAAAGATATGGAGATTGGGTAACGGTAAGGATCTAATGTAGCTAAAAACATTTCACTTATATCAATGCTATCTTATTTAAATGCTTTAAATCACGCATCAGCCAAATTGCCGGATTCTTTGAAATTTGAACAGATTCCAAACTTGGATTTAATAGAACCGCAACAAGCAATTTTGGAAATGACCTTGAAGGTAAAAAACGAATACAGTAGTTTGTAGAATATGAACTAATGTTGCAAGAAATTACATACTTTTTTAAAAAAAAAATTTTGTAGGGTAATTATCATCTCATGGCAAGCGCATTATCAGAAGATGGTGAATGGATTGCAGTATCTGATATAGAAACAGTAAAAGTGTTCAAAGTCCAAAATGATGTACGTTTATTGTTTTATTTTCTGTCAAATTCAAAGGAATAATAATATCATTTTTTCTGATTCATATATTTCTAAATTGAACTTTAGCCCTCAAATCCTGACAGTATCTGTGTTAAAAAAGTCAAATTCCCAAAAATATCGGTGAATGGAAATTCAGCAGGAGCACATCACCTCATATTCACTTTGGACGGAAAAAAACTTGTGATAGTTAATATTGACTCTTCCATTATTATCGCTGAACTCAACGATTGTCAGCATAAAGAAATTAGAATACTTCATCAATTTTATGAACATGCTCAACCACTTGATGGAAACACATCGATTGTCACCTCTATAGCTGTGAGTGGTGATAGTCGATGGCTTGCTGTAGGTGATCTTTTAAATAGAATTAACGTGTATAATTTAGAAACTTTTGAGGTAAATTTTACTTATATTACTGCTTTATAATAATTTTATGCATTTATAACACTTATATTTTTTTAAATTTAATCGTATATCATCATTCAGCTTCATTCAACACTTCCAAAATTCTCTTCAACTCATACGGCATTGGCTTTTTATCCGTCAAAACCTACTCTTGTGATTACTTTATCTTCCAACGAATTTTTCCTTTATGATATTGAATCACAAGAACTCGATGATTGGTCACTAACGTATTCCGAAAGTCTACCAAAAACATTTCTAAATTTAGAAAATAGACTTGTTGGCTGTGCGTTTAATCCTATAAATAGTGATGCGATTATACTTTGGGGTGCTAATTATCTTTGTCTTATTGATTTTGATAAATGTCGTAAAGATAAGGGGCATCAACCACATTTGGCTACGTGTACAGGATGGCGGGAAAACTTAAAATATAAAGCAATTGAACAAGCACCAAAACAGAATGGTCTAACGAAAAAGAGAAAAAGAGACAAAACCGAAAAAAATATAAAAAGGGCCAAAACTGACAAAAAAATAATTAATTTTCAACTTGTCTTTAGATATCGCTCATTAATGTATGTTGATTTTATTGAACCAAACACTATGATAGTTGTAGAGAGGCCATTTGCCGCTATTTTGGAGAATTTGCCACCTTCATTTTACAAAGCTCAATATGGCTCTTGATTTAATAAATCTTTTATTTATTTATTAATAATATCTTTTCTAAGGAGGGATAGCTTGTTAGCAAAATATGTTAAACATTCAACGGGACACCGGGACACCGAGGCACCGGAACACCATATGTATTACTAATGGTTAACAATAAGTAATCTTCCAATGAATCGTGGATCACGATTATTTATTATATATTTATTATACGTACGTACGCACCGAGACTATATGAATTGTGCATTTTATGTCTATATCTGATATGTGTATGTGCGTAACATAAATATAATTGGTCGGCATCTTCCATTGCCAGTTTACAATTTTGGTGAATAATTTTCGGCTCATCTATCCAATGTATAAATTCGGTAAATAACTTTGGTAAAGATTTGGACAGTAAAACTGAAACATTTCTATAAAAATAAAAAAGAACAAAAGAACGAAAGAATATGAACTTCAACACTTGCCAAAATCTCATCAGTTTAAACTTTTAAAACTTTAATCTATTGGTTGTTTTTTTAACTACTCACATCATATTGTCTAATACGCTTATATCAGATATTAACTATGATTATCATTGATTGACCGATTAATTCACGTGATTTTACATATAAATTATATTTTAACATCGTCGAGATTGTATTTGTTTGCATTTGTTTGCATTTATTTGCATTGCCTAACTTTAATAAATTTGGGAAATAAGTTAATGTATGACTTGTACTTTACTCGTTTTTTTTTTATTATAGTACTAACAATATTATTGATAGATATTTTTTTTGTACTTTATCATCATTTTCAACGTACAGTATATGCGTTTATTTATATATATTCGGGTTGCAATGTTGTTACTTAACTGCAGGCATACCATCAGAAAGCAGTTTTTCATCAACTTGCCTCTCTCTCCTGTTAGACAAGAGAGCCGGTTTAGATATCTCTCCTCAATACAATAGCACTTGATGTGCGTTGATAAAAGTTGACCCCCAAAAATAAAAATAAAAAAAAAAAAAATAAATAAAAATTTAATTTTAACATAGATAACTTTTCTCACCCCTCCCTTATTTTCTGCCCCGAAAAAATTTTGTAGCCCTCGTCTTACCGTAAGTTTTACCAACTCGGTAAATTTGACACTTTTATGTCTTTCTCTGCTCACCATACACCAAAGTCTTCTCAAGGGAGTGAAGGGGACATTTTCTTTGAAGCAACTCCAGAAGTTGGCACCATAAATGGTAATATGAATCAAAAAAACCAGTCCGAAGACTCTAATGTAGACCAATTTAATGTAAACAAAAATGAATTTAGACAGAGGGATAGAGTACATGATCATTCAAGGTCTATCGATTCCGTAATTTCTCCAATGCAATCAGTTTATATGACACCTCAAGACTCTACTTGTAATTTATTGATAAATGCAATAAAACAGGCTGCAATTACTAATCATATAGACCCGAGATTACGGCCAGATGATACAACTACTTCACCAACTACAACCCCATTTTTTACGACTCCGTCAACGCCCTTCGGTCCCGGTAGGCAAACCATGGATTTTAGTAATGTTAATGAATTTAATTTTACATCAAGTACTTCAAAATCTATAATGAATAGGCAAGTCAGTGCTGCAGCTGTATCAGCTAAAATAAGAGAATTCGAATCGTTAATAAAAAAAACTACTTCACAAGCAAATTTAAAACCAATAATGGAAACTTCTGAATCTCCAAAATATAGTTCTACTCCAAAATCTAATCAATCTTCCGGATCTCCAAGATATCATCATACTGTTGAACCTTCTTCGGGTACAAATACCTATGTAGCAGATTCTTATGATCATATAGAAATTGAAAAAGATACCATAACATCATCGGGAACACCATCAGTTGGTTCACCGATAGAACAAGTAAATGTGAATAATCATTTTCCAGGAAAATCTGCTGATGATAAATGGTTCACATCATCAGAAATTACTGAAGATTATCGCATAAATAAAGACAATCGTATAAGTTTAACTTTGAATACAAATTCTTTTAATAAAAGAGATTTATCAAGAGATGTAATCATGGAAGAAACAACAGATAATGGAAAGGAAATAAATAGAGAAGAAAACTATAGAAGAATATCAAAAGTATCTTATGTAACAAGAGGTGATACGGCTTCTAAAAGTGATAGCACTACTGAAGTCGGTGGAATAGATTCACCGATTTCTTCAAAAAGAGTTTCTGAAAAAGATGCCTTTTCCCCTATTTCATCAAAAACATCTTCAAAAAGAATATCTAAAGAATCAACCGTACTATATCTTAATATCCGTGATAAATTTCTATTATTAACCGGGTAAGTTATTATTATTATTATTATTATTATTCATATTTTCATTAAATAACTAACGCTAATTTAAAAATGTGATATAGGTTATCGTTGGCATTCTTTTTAGTAATCTTTGACATAACTATGGTAGCAAATCAAATTCCTAAAATCATTACCGAATTTAAGGCAGGTGAATATATATCGTGGATAATTACTTCTTATAACATAGCAAGTGTAAGCATTAATTAAGTTTTAAAAGTTATAATATACAGTCTATTGAAATTACGTATTTGTTCTTTTGTTTTAATTATTTTAATTATTATAAAGGTGATATTACAACCTATATGCGATAAATATTCAAATATTTTTGGAAGAAAATTATTATCACTCGTTGCAATATTCATTTTTGGTTCTGGTTCGGTATTAAGTGGAGCCGCACAAAATATTCAATGGTTAATCTGTGCAAGAGCTCTAGTGGGATTAGGAAGTGGAATTATCATACCAATGTCATTTACCATTATATCGGATGTCGTTCCTGCTCTTCAACGTAATCCTTTCAATAATTCTATCAACTTTGCTTTCGCTTTTGGATTGATTTTAGGCCCAGTTGTTGGTGGTTTATTCGCTGACTATTTATCTTGGAGGTGGTCATTTTATATGAATGGCGCATTGTCAATTATACCCATAATATCAATATGGTTTGTTACAATACTTTATGCTCCAATGGATCCAGTATTCACCAAGTTAAAACTTGTAGATTGGCTAGGATTTATCCTGCTGGCGTCGGGATTTTTATTTCTTCTTTTACCGATAAATTTTGGTGGTGTCCAATTAGATTGGTTGAGCCCTCCTATATTCATAATGCTTGCGATAGGTTTTATTTTACTGATAGTCTTTATCATCGTCGAGGTAAAACATGCTGAAGAGCCACTTTTACCTAAACACTTATTTATTAATTCTTGTCATCGAGCCGTATTTGGTGCATTCTTTTCCTTGGGGTGGATTCAAGCCGTTATCATCTATTTCTCTCCTGTATATTTTCAGTACGTACAGGATTTGACTCCAACATCATCCGCTATAGCTCTTTTACCATTAGTGGTTAGCATTGTAGTATTTTTAGGATTAAGCGATTCACTCGTTAATTTTGCTGGCTATTATCGGTGGATTATATTCTGTGGCTCATTGGTTACAATAGCGGGAAGTGCTTTGTTATCAACTTTTAATTTGTATATGGGGGATGTATTTAGAATTATATCTCTTGTAGTAATTGGAACCGGAATTGGATCACTTTCAAGAATCTTATTTAGACCTGCACAAATGGCTGTGAAAGATCGTGAAAAAAATGCCGTAAACGAATTATGTAATTTTTTCAGAGCAAGTGGATGGGTCTTTGGTGTATCAATTTCTGGAGCTATCTTTAATAACAAAATAATATATGATTTTTCTAATATTCCAAATTTTCCGATAAAATCGTCATTAAATGATGCCCTTTTACTGACAAACATAGGAAAACTTTCATCCGATGATCAAAACCTTATATTATCTTCAATCAGTGATGCAATCACTATTAATTTCAGAATTTGTATTTTCATGGCTGTTATTGGATTAGTATTTTCTTTATTTATAAAACATTATAAAATGAGAGGGGTTAAACGACGAAATGAGCAAGATGAATCAGGTGCTAATAATGTTGAAATACTAAATGAAAAGGTATGAATACATAGCAAAAAAAAAAAAAAATTCATGGAAAGCTATTTTTCTGTGACATTATGTAATTAATTTTATTATTGATTGACGTTATTTAATAATTATTATATTTAATTTCCAAAACAATTACTGTACTTTTATTTACTTTTTCCACATTTGTATTCTTTCGTTAGCAATATTTTTTAGCTTTAATTACTTATAAATAATTCGATCTCGTGAAAACAAAAAAAAAAACAACTTGTAGCAATAGACATTAATACCCTTATTAATAAAAAAATAAGAATGAAACCACAAAAAATATTAGCCACACCTATTAATGCTTTGTCCTTGCTTTACTGTTTACCGCTGTATATATCGTAAAATCCAGACACGTGTACCCCGGGTATTTTAATTACTCAATTTTGTACCCGGGGTACGCCGTATTGATTTACTATATCTACCTGGGATGATACATATAGTATGTATAATACCTATGTACCCGGGTATAAGTCACCAATTGGCCCTTGAAACTGCTAAAGGGTACACGCCATGGGGGTATAAGTGTCCGGATTTTACGGTAATTAAAGTTTGGACCAGTCTTATTAAACCCAAATTTAATCGGTTTCTATATATGAAAAATCCAAGAAGATTGGATGGTTTTCACCACCAATCGGGCATAATGCTAATTCTTGAATGGAATCGACCAGGGTGGGTGGCCAAAGAATTATTACAACACGCTTTCAACTCCTAAGGTGTATCATAGGGGTCACCAAATTTTTGCTGGATTTTAATCATGTGCCTTGTTATTATTGGATAAAAATTCACATCACGAAGAAAAAATTATATTTAGTCCGAAATTTGAAAAACCATTTGGTTTTAACCTTTAATATTTCATAAAATAATAAAACAATCAAATAAACTAAACTGTAAATCTGAAAAAGAAGCATTGAATTTATTATTTTTACGGGCTGTAATCTTAATACTAGAGATGTACTGTACCTCTCGCGAGATAAACCTAGCAAACATTCCACATATCG